GCGGCTGCTGCCGCATCCCGGCCCGCCGGGGCGGGCTCTGCCACGGGGACGGTGGGCGCCCAGCAGCAGGGTGCAGCTGCGGTGCCTCCTCCCTGGCGGCTTTTCCCCGCGGGCTGGGGCAGCACCCCCCAGCTGGCACCTCCGCGCACCTTTCCATTGCCTTGGTCGTGCCCAGAGCTGTCCTTAACGCAGCCTGCGCGGTGGCAGCGCGGCCCCGGGGCGCCCGTGTCCCTGGGAGCGCGGCCGCGCCGCAGGTGCCCGCGCTCTTTGCTCTTCCTGGGCCATATCCGGGTGCGCAGGGCAGGGCTGGGAGTTATGAGACCTCTGGCCCAGTGTGATCAGCGCCATCCGGGAGCTTCCCGGGGTTTAGAGCTTCGCCTGGGGTGTTTCCTGCCTGCACCCATGGGTGCCCGGCCACGCCTGGGCCTTGGGGTGCCGGGACAAAGAGCCCTGTGGGGTTTCGTGCCACGCGGCAGTGGGAAGTGCCGGAGCAGCCCGGAGCGGCTGCTGGTGCCGGGGTGCTGGTGCCGGCACTGGGCCAGGCGCCCGACGTGGCAATGGGCTGTGGTGCCGGAGCATCCGCCCCGCCGCGAGGCTCCAGGGCCGTGGCGAGGTGGCCCTGCGTGGCCACCTGGGTGTTGCTCAGAGGCCATCGTGGCGTCTCGTGCCACATTCCTCAGCCGCAGCGGGGCCATCTCCGGCACCGGGTTCACTGCAGGGACTCCAGGCATGGTCCCGCTGTGGCAGCTGTGTCCGTGGGAGCCCCAGGGCCACAGGGCTCCGCAGGGCAGAGCCTTCGGCCTCCCGCGCTGAGCCCCGCTCCCCCTCTCTTGCAGAAAGCGCCGTGGCGCTGCCCGCGGCTCGAGCTCTGCGCCCTGGGCGCCACGGGGCTGCTGGGGCTCTGCTACCTGCTGGCGGGGGACGAGTGGCCGGGGCCACCCTTGACCACCAGCCCCAGCGCCAGCGCCGTACCGGAGCTGCCGGCGCCCTCGGCCGAGCCCCCTGCGCCCTGCGCCCCTAACGCCTCCATGCACAACGTGTCCGACTTCAGCACGCTGCCCGCGCACGTGCAGGACTTCCTGCTCTACCGGCACTGCCGGCACTTCCCCCAGCTGCTCGACGTGCCGGGCAAGTGCGGCGGCCCGGCGCGCTCGGCCGGCGTCTTCCTGCTGCTCGCCATCAAGTCCTCGCCGGGGAACTACGTGCGGCGCGAGGCCATCCGCAAGACGTGGGGCCGGGAGCGCAGCGTGGCGGGCGCCCGCGTGCGCCGCGTCTTCCTCTGCGGCGTGGCCGCCGGCGCCAAGGTGGCCAAGCTCAACCAGCTGCTGCAGCTCGAGCACCGCGAGCACGGGGACATCCTGCAGTGGGACTTCCAGGACACCTTCTTCAACCTGACGCTCAAGCAGCTGCTCTTCCACGACTGGCTGGCGGCCAGCTGCCCCGGTGCCCGCTTCGTCCTCAACGGCGACGACGACGTCTTCGTCAACACGGACAACGTGGTCCACTTCACCCAGGGCATCACCGCCCGCCACCTCTTTGTGGGCCAGCTCATTACCAACGTGGGCCCCATCCGGTCCTCGCCCAGCAAGTACTACGTGCCGCCGCAGGTGACGGCCTCGGAGCGCTACCCGCCCTACTGCGGCGGCGGCGGCATCCTCATGTCCGGCTTCACTGCCCGCACCATCCACCGCGAGTCGCGCCACCTCGAGCTCTTCCCCATCGACGACGTCTACCTGGGCATGTGCTTGGAGCGGGCCGGGCTGGCGCCGGCGTCGCACAACGCCATCCGCACCGTGGGCGTCCAGGTGCCCGCCAAGGCCGAGCCCTTCGACCCCTGCTACTACCGCGAGCTGCTGCTCGTGCACCGCTTCGCGCCCTACGAGATGGCCCTGATGTGGCAGGCGCTGCGGCAGCCCGGCCTGCGCTGCGGCCGCACCGTGGGCATCTACCCGCACGCCTGAGCGCGTGCCGGCCCCGCGCCCACGGCGGGCACGGAGCCCCCCTTCCCGCCGGCCCCGGCCGGTGGCTGCACAGACACGCTGGGACCAATGGGGAATAAAGCGTGCGCATTGCAAGCAAGAGTGTGCGCCCCCGTGCCGTCCTGGGGGTCCCCGTGCCCCGGGAAACCCTTGTGTTTCCGCTCGGAGCCTCGATCCAGGGTTGCCGTGGCGGGGGGTCCCTCCTGGGTGGACCCTCCCCGCAGCCTGCCCAGGGCTGCGCTCGGGGCTGCGCGGCCTCGGGCGCCCGACGCGCTGTGCACGGCCCCCCCGGCGCCGCAAGGTCACTGATAGCGCTCGGCGGCGGCCCTGGGACCAGCCGGCGCCGGGCGCAGGTGGCCCCGCGCCCCGGGGTGCTCAGGGTCCCCACGACTGCGCCCGGCTGCAGCCCCACACCCCCCTGCTCTCCTGCAGCCTGGGGGCTTGTCCTGCGCCAAAGGGATTCACCTGCGCCTAATAGGAGGGTTGAACTCCCGGGACAGCATTTCCCTCCCTGGGGAGCTGCCCACCCATGGGTCCTGTCTCCTCTGCTCTCTGTCTTGTTATGTGGAAAAATTCTATGGAAATTTAATAGGAATTGGCCATGTGCAGTGGTGAGGGCAGCGGGATCGGGGGCACAGGGAGAGGCGGCAGTGAAGCCCTGGGGGTGTCGCAGTGCAGGGGGCTGCACCTTGGTCCCCAGCAGGTCCTTTGCCCCAGGCTGGGGACTGCAGAACGGGGGAGCTGGGGGGTTATGGGGACAGTTCTGGTCCGTAGTGGGAGCTGAGCAGCTGGGCTGCAGCGACGCCGGATCTGCGTGTCCACGTCCAGCTCCGCGCCGGCCGCTCCGCTTTCCCCGCATCCATCGAAGCACGTGGGAGCATCGCTGCGTCCCGCATCCCCGCGGCGCGCCGGGAGCGAGGCCGCCGGCGGGCTACCCGCGAGCCTTGCTGCGCCCGTCGCGCAGCGCCTCGATGCGCGGCGCCAGCTCGCCGAACGTGGGCCTGGCGCCGGGCGCCAGCGCCCAGCAGCTCAGCATGAGCGCGTAGACCTGCGGGCGAGGGCGGTGAGCGCCGTGGCAGCGCGCGGGGCCGCCCGCCCGCCCGGCACCGCTCACCTCCACGGGGCAGCCCGCCGGCGCCGGCAGCCGCCGGTTCTCCTTGAGCAGCTCCAGCAAGGTGCAGACGATCTGCGCCGCCTTGTTGGTGCCCATCATGCGCAGGAATTCCTGCGGGTACCCGTGTCTGCTGTGGCGGGGGCTGGGGTGGCCAGCACCCCTCCAACTAAGGCTGCTGGGTCCCCCCGGCTCAATGGTGATGGATGGATGGAGCCAGGAGAGCCAGGAGAACCGGCCCCAGGGGTTGCACCCGGCCCGGAGTGGAGCGTCCTGCACTGATGGTGACGGGACCAGCAGGACCCTGGGGGGTGGCTCTCACCTCGGAGGGGCTCTTGCTCTTGTTGCTGTAGGTGAAGAGCTCATAGAGGAGGACCCCAAAGCTCCAGATGTCAGACGCCCGGGAGAAGACGTTGTCCGCGAGGGACTCGGGCGCGTACCTGCCAGTGCGGAGCGCTGAGCACCGCGCCCGGCCAAGCCACGCGCCGTCCCCAGGGCCACGCTCGCCCTCACCAGAACACGGGGCTCTGGCCGGGCTCCTGCACCACGTAATAGTCCTTGTCCTGCGGCAGCAGCTTGGCCAGGCCGAAGTCGCCGATCTTCACGTGGCTCTCGCTCTCCACCAGGATGTTCCTGTTGGCCAGGTCGCGGTGCACGCAGCGCTGCGCCCCCAGGTACTCCATGCCCTGCGCAGAGGCACCGGGCTCACCGTGACCCGCAGCCCGGGCATCCTGGTGCATCGGGGCAGCCGCCTCTGCGGCCAGTGCAGCACAGCAGCCCGGGCCCCCGCGCTCCCACCTTGCAGATCTGCCAGGCGTAGAGCAGCAGGGTCCGGTGCTCCAGGCGGTGCTGGTTCTTCTGCAGGTAGTCCCGCAGGCACCCATTGGGCAGATACTCCATGACGAGCCGCAGGCCACGGCGCCCTGGGGACAGGCACGGGGGTCACCCGTGTCCCCTCCAGAGGCAGCCTCGCAGCTCCAGAGCCGACCGTGGGAGCGAGCTCCCTCTGGAGGGTCCCAATCCAGGTGCGAGCACTGGGGCCGTGCGGCCCCGCGCTCACCGCGGCTGTAGCAGACGCCGCGGTACTTGACGATGAAGTCGTGCTGCAGCGAGTGCAGGATGTGGATCTCCCTCTCGAAGTCCCGCAGCTCCTTGGCCGAGTCCTGCTGCAGCTTCTTCACGGCCACCAGCTCGCCCGTGCTGTCGCCCAGCGGGTCGTAGCGGCACAGCTCCACGCTCCCAAAGTTGCCCTGGCCACGCAGAGCCAGGCGGCACTCGGGGGCACAGGCTGCAGGGAGACCCCTGACGCGTCCCCATGCGCGGAGTGCCTCTGCCACCCACCGTGCCCAGCTCCAGGACACGTTGGCTGAGCCTTGGGGACGCCAGGCAGAACCACGGGGCTGTGCAGCAGCTCCCAACAGCACCAGGCCCCCCGGACCCCCACGTGCCGTGAGCCCCCTTGGGCGCAGCCCTCACCTTGCCCAGCAGAGAGATGTACTTGAGGTGCCGCTCCTCGAAGAGCGTGGGGTCATGGTGCACGGCCACGTGCTCGTACCCCCAAAAGCTGTCGCGCAGCGTCACGTCACCCGGGGCCAGGTCCGAGAGCAGCTCGTAATCTGGGGGAGGCGAGAGGTGAGGCGGCGAGGTCGGCTAGGAGCCGGCTGCCCACGGCCGCGGCTCACCGGAGGTGATGAGGCTGTTGAGGTCGCGGATGACGGCGCGGAAGCAGGGCCGGTGCCGCGGCTCGTAGGCCATGCACTGCGCGATGAGCGTGGCCAGCTCGGTCCACTTGGGCGCGGGCAGCTGGTGGCGGCTCTCGTAGAAACGCAGCTTCTGCGGGCGCAGCAGGGACCGCTTGAGACGCGCCGTGGGGACCCGGCTTCAAGCATCACCCGGGTCCAGCGTCACCCAAGCACCGCAGGCTGCGGCACCAGCTGCACTGCCGCCCCTGCGCCCAGGCCAGTGCGACAGGACAGGGTGGCCGCTGACGTCACCTCCTGCGGCTCCAGCAGGCTCACGGGCATGTTGCCACCGCTGAAGATCTCCCAGAGGGTGGCCCCGAAGCTCCACTTGTCGGCCGGCAGCGCCAGGCTCTGGGGGTCGCTGACGCACTCGGGAGCCACCCAGGGGATGCGCTCGACGAGCACTGCGGAGAGCGGCACGAACCCGCTCAGCGCCCGGCGGGCACACGGCGCCCGCGCCACCCTGGCACTCACTCTCCTTGGCCAAGACGGTGACGCTCACTCCGGGGTCATTGAGCTTGATGAAGGGGGGGCTGCCGCTGGCTGCGTCCCCCTCCCGCGTCAACAGCACCTTCTTAGCAGAGACGTTGCCGTGCGTGATTTTTTTGTCCTCCTGGGGAGGGGAGAGGGAGAGATGCCGCGCTCAGGGCTTGGGATGCCAAAGGGAAGGGATGCATGGGAACCGTGGGACATGGATGCATAGGAGGCATCGGATATGGATGCATGGGAGCCGTGGGATGTGGATGCATAGGAGGCATCGGACATGGATGCATGGAATCCATGGGATATGTGTGCTTGGAACGTGCGGGACAAGACAGTGGGGTGCCACCACTGGAGCACCGACAGTGGCTCACCAGGTAGTTGAGGGCGTGCGCCAGCTGCTTGGCCACCTGCAGCTTCCAGCTCGTGGTCACCTTGCCCTCGCCTTGGTTCTTCTTCAGGTAGAGGTCCAGGGGCCCGTAGCGGACGTACTCCTGCACCATGATACCTGCGGGCGGCCGGGGTGGTTGGCGCGCAGGGAGCGCGCGGTGGCCTCGCGGTGCCGGGGACGCCACTCACTGTCCTTCCCCAGGCTGACGCCGTGCAGCAGCACGAGGTGCTTGTGCGAGAGCTGGCTCATGATGCTGGCGGCCTCCAGGAAGGACTGGGAGGTGGGAAGGCTGCATCAGGCAGAGACGGGGGACCCCGGAGCGGGACACGGTGGGGACACGGTGGGGACACGTGCGCGGCGCGAGGGCGGCCTCACCTCGGAGCAGTTGTGGTGGCTGCTGTCCATGACCTTGAGCACCACCTCGGTCTGGTAGTACTCGTCCTCCTTCTGGTCCCGCTTGACGCCCTTGTAGATGTGGGTGAAGGAGCCCTGGCCCAGGCTCTCGCCCTGCCACGGCAGCGGGGACGCTGGGGACGGGGTCCGTGCCCGCGGTGCCCGTCCCGCCGGCACCCCGGTCCTCCCCCTACCCGCACGAGGCTCTCAGGGCTGATCTTGTGGAACGTCATGTGGGGGAGGCCGCGGCGCGGGGCCGGGGGCGAGCCGGGCAGCCGGGGGCAGCCGCTGCGCACGATGAGCAGGTTGGAGCGCTCTGGGGCGGGAGAGCAGCAGCGTGAGGTCACACGGCCCGCCGTGACGTCACACGGACTGCTCTGTGACATCACACAGCCCACTGTGGTGCCATGTGGCCTGCTCTGTGACGTCACACAGCCCACTGTGACATCACACAGCCCACTGTGACGTCACACAGCCCAATGTCATGTCACACAGGCTGCTCTGTGACGTCACACAGCCCACTGTGACATCACACAGCCCACTGTGACATCACACAGGCTGCTCTGTGACATCACACAGCCCACTGCGACATCACACAGCCCAATGTCATGTCACACAGGCTGCTCTGTGACGTCACACAGGCTGCTCTATGACATCACACAGCCCACCGTGACGTCACACAGGATGCTCTGTGACGTCACCCAGCCTGCTGTCATGTCACCCAGCGCGCTGTGACGTCACACAGGCCACCTGCTGGCGTCACCGAGCCCGGCGCGTCGTCACCCAGCCCTCCCGCCCGCCCGGCGGTGCCACCTTTGGGCTGGGGCGGGCAGCAGGCGGCCAGGCGCAGGCGGGCGCCCTCGGCCTGCAGCCCGCAGCGCCCGTAGGTGCCCAGCAGCTCGCGCAGGCTGCAGAAGCGCCGCGGCACCCCGGCGAGCACGAAGCGGCCGTCCTCGTCCCGCCGGATCAGGCAGCGCTTGTAGTCCGGGCCGGAGCGGGTCTGCGGGGCCGGGCGCGGGGTGAGTGCGGGGCCGGCCCCGGGGCTGCCCCCGGCACCGGGCGGGCCGAGCGTGGCGACCCCGGCCCCGCGCGCTCACCTCGGCGCACACGGTGAGCAGGTAGCTGTCGAAGTCCTGCGGGCTGCGGCGCAGCAGGTAGAGCCCCGCGCGGCTCCCCGCCGCCTGCAGCTTGCTCACGGCGAACTCGGAGCTGCGGGCGGCGGGCACGGCGTCGGCGCCGTGGACAGTCCCGCGGGCCCCTCCGCGGCGCCCTGCCCAGCAGAGCCCCGCAGCAAAGCGGGTGCCGGCACCCACCTGATGGGCCCGTGGCAGCCGCTCTCCAGGTCCTCCAAGAGCCGGGGGGGAGCCACCTCCTTGCAGAAGTAGTGCTGGGCATCCGCGGTCAGGCGGTAGTAGCCGTCCACGAGGGCCACGAAGGACAGGGCTTCCCGCAGCGATGGGAACTCCACCTCCTGCGGCGGGCACGGGCTGAGCGGTGCCGGCCCTCCAGGACCCCCCCGGCCCCCACGCGTGCACTCACCAGCACCCGGTTGTCCGTCTTGGTGAGGGTGACGACGCGGCTCTCGGCGGGGCTGCCGTCCCGGCTCGCCTGCTTGATGCTGATGTCGGCGATGTCGGGGAAGTCGCAGAAGTGCTGGCGGCTCTGGGCAGGGCACGGCGCCGGGGGTCTGCGTCATCCCACGTGCCCCAAAACCACCACCAAAACATCCCTTGCCGCCCCTCGCACCTCGGCCCCGTCGCAGCTCCAGGAGACGCCGCTGCCGCCGGCCACGTGCACGGTGACGGCGGCGGTGGGTGCGCGCGCGCGGAAGCTCTCCTCCGCCCAGCGCGCCTGCAGCCGCTCCAGGTCCAGCAGGTACTTGAGCTTGAGGAAGCGGCCGTCCGGGCGGCAGCCGCCGATCCTGCGCAGGGACTTGCCGAAGTGGCGGCGGATGCGCTTGCGCGTCAGGAAGCTGTGCTGCTGGATCTGGCAGCGCAGCTGCTCGGGCAGGCACGACTTGTAGCTGGGAGCGGCGGGCGCGTGAGCGGGCAGCGGGCTGGGGCCGCAGCGGGAGCCCCGTGCCGCCCTCCCATACCTGACGCAGCTGAAGGTCTCCTGCGGGCTCTGCTGCTTCTCCTTGGCGATGCGCAGCATGTCGAGCAGCGCCAGGCTCAGGCACTCCTCCTGCGTCTGCAGGCTCAGCGCCACCTCCGCGCGCCCGCCCACGAAGTCGCTGCGGGACTGGGGACCGGGCAGCTCAGCCGGGACCCCCTTAAGCTCCCTGTTCCCTGCTTGTCCCTCCCCGAGCATATGCAGCCTTTAGTGCATGCAGGAGCATGTGCAACCTTCAGTGCATGCATGGGAAAGTGCAATCCTTTCCATGTAGGAAAGTGCAACATGCTCCATGTAGGAGCATGCGTGACCCTCAGTGCATGCAGGAGTACCCATGACCCTTGCTGCATGCATAAGCACGTGCAACCTTTAGTGCATACACGGGTAAGTGCAACGCTTGCTGCATGCAGGAGCATGTGCGACCATCAGTGCATGTAGGAGCATCCACGACCCTTGGTGCATGCACTAGGCTGTGGGTAATGGGAGTATCCAGGATGGATCCTGCTGAGCCTGCAGCCACTGTGGCCCTGGGGCTGCCAATGCCAAGGTTGTCCCTGCCAGGCCCCGGCCCAAGCGCCCTGGCACCCAAGTGATTCACATCTTCCCTCTATTTTCCTGCTGGTGACCTGGTAAGAGCAAAGACGGCACCATCTGCGGGCCCAGCAGCTCCCAAACCCATGGGCAACTTCAGCTGAGCCATCGTCCTGTGGACACCACAGCCCCAGGGGTGCAGGGGCCAGCAAGGAGAGCAGCACAGGGTGGCGTCACGCTGAGGTTAACGCATCCGACACACCCGAGAAGCCACAGGAGCCTTTACCTGTCAGATCTGGGTGTCCCGCGACACCAGCCCCGCCGGGCTCACCTGGGCAAAGAGGTAATCAATGACGGGGTAGTCCAGGACGGCGCTGGCCCGGTCGTTCATCAGCTGGAACCGGTGCGACTGTCCCAGCCCACACCAGTTGGGGAAGAAGAACCTGCCAGGGAGGACAGACAAGGCTCCGCTCTGCCCCAGGGAGCTGGCACGTGCACAGCCCTTATCAGCCATCGGAGAGTCCCCGGGCAGCCCCGCAGCGGTACCTGATGCGATAGACCACGACCTGGCTGTGCGAGTCGTCCACAGTAAAGACGTGGTTGGGGGGGAACCAGCACGTGAGATCCTCGGTGGCCAGGGCGAAGAGGGAGTGACAGACGGGCAGCACACCTGGGGACGCAGCGAGGGACGTGCCACCGGGGCTCCGGGGAGGGACGCACGGCGGGGGGACGTGCCCGTCCCCCTCAGCGCCCCCGTGGCCGGGGGTGGCACTGGCCACGGGCAGCGGGTGCAGGGCAGGGCACGGCGCTCACCGCAGGCCTGCGCCGCGCGGACGCAGAGCTCCTCGGCCGTGTACTCGCCGAAGGTGAAGGTGAGGACGCCGGCGCCGTCGAGGCCGGCAGCGTCGGGGCCGCCGTGGCGCGCCCGGTGGTACAGGAAGACCTGCAGCGTGCCCGTCTCCGTGGACGAGAGGCTGCACGAGCGCTCCCCGATCAGCGGCGTCTCCTCGCCCAGCGGCACCATGGCCGGCGCTGTCACAACGGCGAGAGTGCTCAGCGCATCCGTCTGTCCCCCCGGCTCGCTGGGAGGGTCCCGGCTGTGTCGCCAGGAAGCGACCCTCGGCTCAGAGCGCAGTGACCTGCGTGGGACCCGGAGGCGCCCCAGGCTGCAGCCTGGCCGGGGCAGGAACCGAAGCAGGAGCTGGGGAAGGAGCCAGAGTGGGAGCCGGGGCGCTCGCCCTGCCCATGCGCCCTTCCCGTGGGATATCCCGTGCCACAGGGTGGGAAGGCAGCAGCAAAGCCGGGAGCATCCTGCTGGGAGCTGGGGCTGCCCAGCACACGCACTGCAGAAGGGGAAACCGGGACGCACAGCCCACTGCACCCGGGCACCGTCCTGCTGCCCCCAGCCCTCGCCACCGCCGCTGTGTCCCCTGTACCTGCTGCGTCCCCGGGGCCTCGCGGGCACCCGCGGCTCCGGCCCTGGCGGTGGCTCCGGTGGGGCTGGGGCACTCAGACTGCGTAGGAGGGAGATGAAGAGAGCAAAAAAACCCCTCGGGCAACTTCCTTCCTGCCCGCGGCATCGCCGAGCGCCGGGGAACTTCCTGGCAAGGGAGGGGGGTGACGGGGCCCCGGGGCGCAGAGGGGCCGCTGAGGGCGATAAGGGACCGAGTTGGGGCACGGGGGGCATGGGGTGCCCGGAGCCGGCGCTGCCTCGTTGTGCCACCCCTCCTTTTACCGCATGAAGTGCCAGGGTGGCCCCTGCTCAGCCCCTGCCTGGAGAAGGCACTTGGGTCCCCGCAGCAGGAACGGACCGGGGACAGGGGCAGGGACGGGGTGAGGCCCATGGGCAGGCGGCACGTGCGGTGCCAGGCGCCGCGTGGCGCAGCGCAGCGCCCAGGCCGGACGTCCCCGCACGGCGCGGGCCCCGATGGACTCCCTCCATCCCCACAGGGGCACCGGGATGAGGGATGGGTCTGTCCAGAGCTGCCCAGGGTCTTCCTGTGTGTGCAGGGATCAGAGAAGGAGGTCGGGAGATGAACGAGCCTTGGACAAGGCAGGATCCAGCCAGCACCGGAGTCCCTTGGGATGCCCAGCCGGACACATCCCCCCCAGCACATGACACCCTTCCCGATGCCCTAAACCATCCCCGGCACCTGGAGCGGCTCCTGCCCTGCATCCCCGAGCGGCTCCCGCTGCCCCAGGGCGCTGGCCACCTCCCTCCCAGCCCCACTCTCCTCCACGCTGGCCCTGCCGTCGCCCCGGGGCGCTGCCTCCGGAACGCGCTCCCACCGGCACAACTGGGGCTTGTTTTGCTTCATCCCTGCCTAAAGCCGGGTTTTGCTCGGCTGGTTTTTCCCCCCTCGGCAGCTGGCTGTCCCCGTCCCCGCGCTTTGCACGCGTGCTTGAGCCGGGCGGGATGGGGGCCCCTCTGCGCGCGGGGCTGGGCCGGGCCTCGTGCGGCCCCCGCGGTGCAGGGCGGCCGCCGCTGCGATGCTCGCGCAAGGTCACCTGATAACGGCGCTCGCTCGGCCGCTGTCCCAGTCTCGCCGGCGGCGCCGTCCCTCCGTCCGTCCCTCTGTCCGTCCCTCCGTCCGTCCGCGGCAACCGCGGGGTCTGCGCCGCCACGCTGGCCGCGGCGGGGAGCCCTGCGGCGCGCACCTTCGGCCTCGCCGACTACGCCGTCTTCGCGCTCATGCTGCTCGTGTCCACGGGCATCGGGCTCTTCCACGCGCTGTCGCGTGGTGGCCAGAAGACCTCGGAGGATTTCTTCATGGGGGGCCGGCGCATGGCGGCGGTGCCCGTGGGGCTCTCGCTCGCCGCCAGCTTCATGTCGGCCGTGCAGGTGCTGGGGGTGCCGGCCGAGGCGCACCGCTACGGCGCCAAGTTCCTCTGCATGTGCCTGGGCCAGCTGCTCAGCACCCTGCTCACCGCGCTGCTCTTCCTGCCCGTCTTCCACCGCCTGGGGCTCACCAGCACCTATGAGGTGGGTGCAGGGGCGGGGGGGCCCTGGTGTCCCCCTCCCCTACAAAAATGAGACCCTTTTCCTCCTGTGCCCAGTACTTGGAGCGGCGCTTCAGCCGGAGCGTGCGGCTCTGCGGCACCGCGCAGTACGTGGCGGCCACGGTGCGTAGAGGGGGTGGCCGCGGTGGCTGGGGGGGTCCTGGCTGCGCTTGGCCCCGCACCTCGGGCCAGGCGCTCGCTTGGCCCTGGGGCTTGCTTGCTGCAAGCTCCTATTCGCAAGGAGCCGCGGGCTGCAGCGCGCGCCCGCTCGCGGCGCGTGCCCGGGGTGCCACGCAGCAGCCCGGCCCTGAGCCTCGCGCGCCCGCAGATGCTCTACACCGGCATCGTCATCTACGCCCCCGCGCTCATCCTCAACCAGGGTACGGGCGCCCGCGCGCTCCCTGCGCGCTCCTGTCCCCGGCGTCGCCCGCGCGCGGCTCATGCCTCGCGCTGTCCCACAGTGACCGGCCTGGACATCTGGGCCTCGCTGCTCTCCACGGGCGCCGTCTGCACCTTCTACACCACCCTGGTGAGCCGGGACGGGCAGCATGAGCGCGCGCGGAGCCGGCCCGTGCTCACGGCGGGACGCTCTGCCGCAGGGCGGGATGAAGGCCGTCGTCTGGACCGACGTCTTCCAGGTCTTGGTGATGCTCGCGGGCTTCGTGGCCATCATCACACGGGGGGTGCTGCTGGCCGGGGGCCCCGCCAGCGTCCTGGCTGCGGCCGCTAACGGCTCCCGCCTCAACTTGCTGGAGTGAGTGGGGTCCTGGGGGGGTCTGTGCTGGCGGGGACACTGGGGCTCAGCCTGCGCCCATGCAGCTTCAACCCCGACCCGCGGAGCCGCTACACGCTCTGGACGTTCGTGCTGGGCGGCACGCTGCTCTGGCTCTCCATGTACGGCGTGAACCAGGCGCAGGTGCAGCGCTACGTGGCCTGCCGCAGCGAGAGGGAGGCCCGCATGTGAGTGGGGGGTGCCGGGGGGCAGCGCGCCCGGCCTGACCCCATGCGGGACCCCAGGCCCCATGGATCCCCCCCGTAAATGCTGCAGGGGCCCTCTGCCCTGTGCACGGCCCCAGCACATCCTCATCCCCTGCATGAGCCCAGCTCTCCCTGCATGGGCCCTGCACCCCCTGCACGGCCCTGCACCCCCTGCGCGGATGCTGCCCCCCTGCGCAGACTCTGTAACCTTCATGTGGTCCCTATACAGTGTGCACGGCCCCAGCACCCTCTGTCTGGATCCTGACCCCCCTGCATGCATCCTGCACCCCCTGCACAGATCCTGACCCCCCTGCACGGACCCTGCACCTCCTGCACAGATCCTGCACCCCCTGCACAGATCCTGACCCCCCTGCATGCATCCTGCACCCCCTGCACAGATCCTGACCCCCCTGCATGGACCCTGCACCTCCTGCACAGATCCTGACCCCCCTGCATGGACCCTGCACCTCCTGCACAGATCCTGACCCCCCTGCACAGACCCTGAACCTCCTGCACAGATCTTGACCCCCCATCATGGACCCTGCATCTCCTGCACAGATCCTGCACCCCCTGCATGGACCCTGCACCCCCGCAGGGGACCTGCACCCAGCACAGCCCCATATCCTGTGCACAGCCCCAGCACCCCTGCACAGCCCCTGTAATCCTGGCATCCAGCCCCCTGCAGGGACCCAGCACCCCTGCATGGACCCTGCAGGACGGGACATAGACCCTACAGCCCAATGTGTGCCCCCTGGCACCCCGCAATGCTGGACAGGTCCCAGGGAAGGGTCGTGGTGCCCTGAGGCCCCCGGGATGTCCCCATGTCCCGCGCCGGGCGGGCTGCTCCGGCTGGATCTCGCCCTGCTTGCAGAGCGCTGCTGGTCAATCAAGTGGGGCTCTCGGTCATCGTGTCCAGCGCGGTGGCCTGTGGCCTTGTGATGTTTGCGCTGTACAAGGACTGCGACCCTCTGCTTGCCGGCTACATCTCGGCCCCGGACCAGGTACAGCCGGCGGCCGCGAGCTGCCCTCTCAAGCGCCAAATTGAGGGCAGCGGGGCAGGAGGGGGAACGGAGAGGCAGGACGCCTGGGCCCTTGTCTCAGCCGTGACGCAGGAGGGGCTGAGCTCCACTGGGGAGGTCTGGGGGCCCCGAGCCTGGGCAGGGGTCTGCTGCCAGCCCCTGACGCAGCCCTCTCCCCGCTCAGTACATGCCCTACCTGGTCCTGGACATCTTCGAGTCGTACCCGGGGGTGCCGGGGCTCTTCCTGGCCTGCGCCTACAGCGGGACGCTCAGGTGAGGGGGGCTCTGTCCCCCGGGGACGGGGCGCACGGTCCCGCCGTGGGGCTGAGCGCTGCCCCGTGCCCTCGCCCCAGCACGGCCTCCACCAGCATCAATGCCATGGCCGCTGTCACCGTCGAGGACCTCATCAAGCCGCGGATGCCCGCGCTGCCGCCGCGGAGGCTGGCCCAGGTCTCCAAAGGCTTGTGTGAGTGGGGATGGGGACGAGCACGTGCCCAGGCTGCCCTGCTGCGCCGTGTCGTGCTGTGCTGCATGGCACCATGGCATGCTGCATTGCACTGCACTGCGCCGAGCTGCATTGTACTGTGCCGATCTGCATCGCACCATGCCATGCTGCACTGCACTGTGTCATGCTGCGATGCATTGCATGGTGCCAAGCTGCACTGCACCATGCCGAGCTGCACTGCACTGTGTCATGCTGCGATGCATTGCACGGTGCCAAGCTGCACTGCACCATGCTGAGTTGCATTGCTCTATGTCATGCGTGCTGTGCTGCATTGCACGGTGCCAAGCTGCACTGCACCATGCCGAGCTGCACTGCACTGTGTCATGCCGTGCCATGCCGTACTGTGCTGCTGCAGCCACCCTGCCTGAGCTCTCCCGTCTCCTCCGCAGCGCTGATCTACGGCACCGGGTGCATCACGGTGGCGGCGCTGGCCTCCCTGCTCGGTGGCGGCGTGCTGCAGGTGAGCCCCGGCGCGCTCCAGCCGGGCACGCATCCCGCCACACGCCACCGGCTGCAGGAGGGCCCTGGAGCACTCTGCAGGGCTGCCGAGTGTGGAGATCCAGCTCCGAGGAGCCCTCAGGTGCTGCGGGGGCTGTGAGCCGGGATGGGGCAAGTGCCCCAGTCCCCATGGGGCAGAGCTCTCCGTGCACCTTCCAGGGCTCCTTCACCGTCATGGGGGCGATCAGTGGCCCGCTGCTGGGAGCCTTCGTCCTGGGCATGTTCGTGCCGGTGTGCAATACGGCCGTGAGTGCAGCGCGGGCTGGGGCGGCAGGGCCGGGTGCTCCGGAGCGGGCGCCCGACCCGGCCGGAGGCTCCGCGGGCGCCGTGCGATCCGTCTCCTCCCTCCGCCGCAGGGCGCATTCGCGGGGCTCGGCGCCGGCCTGGCCCTCTCCACGTGGGTGGCGGTGGGGGGCACGGTGCACCCGCCGAGCGCCGCCGCCACCGGGGTGCTGCCGGCCTCCGCCGCCCTCTGCCCACCGCGCAACGGCAGCGCCGGCGCCAACGGCACCGTCCTGCAGCTGCTGCAGGAGCCCCCGGCGGCGCCGGCACGGTGAGCAGCGCCGGGGCGACGCTGCTGCTTGCTCGCTGTCCCCACGCTGCCCGCTCTGCCCTTGGTGACAATGCACTGCAGTATGGTGTGGCAGTGCCTCCCTGCTCGCGTGTGACGGTGCATCCCTGCAGTGGTGCCTCCCTGCTCGGCTGTGATGGTGCATCACTGCAATGTTGCATCCCTGCTTGCGTGCAACAATGTGTACATGCAGAAATGCAACCATGCATGTCTGTGATAGCAAATCCCTCCTTGCTCACACTGGTGCATCCCTGCATCAGCGCATCCCTGCTTGAGGGCGATCATGCATGCCTGCAGCAGTGCATTTATGCACCTATGCACCATCGCTTGGCTGCACTGGTGCAAGCCTACTCCGCAGCAACCTCCCCCTACTTTGATGCCTCTTTGCATCCCCTGCATTGCCGCAGCTCTGCTTCGCTGCACGGATGCATGCTGCATGGCTGCAATGCTGCCCGCTTCACAGGCCGGCAGTGCTGGGGGACTTCTACGCCGTGTCCTACCTGTACTACGGGGCGCTGGGCACACTGGGCACCGTGGCCGTGGGGGTGCTGGCCAGCTACGTGGCAGGTGAGTGGCACGGGGACGTCCCCGCTGGGGACAGCGCGGCCCCCGGGAGCAGGGAGCGGGCGCCGGCGGCCCCGTCCCGCAGCTCCGGCTCTCCGGCAGGCCCGGCGCGGCGGCCGCCCGCCGACGTGCTCTGGTGGGACGTGGTCACGCGGGCGTCCTTGGCGGCTCCGGCAGAGGGGACGCCCAAGGTGGGTGACAGCGGAGCCAGCGGGTGATCCCGGAGCCACTGGGTGATCCCAAAGCCGGCGGGTGATCCCGGAGCCAGCGGGTGATCCCTGAGGCACCAGGTGATCCCAGAGCTGGTGGGTGATCCCAGAGCCAGTGGGTGATCCCAGAGCCGGCAGCGCTCCCAGCCCGGCCGCTCCCCGCAGGGCCCTGAGCTCCGTGACACTGCTGACCGGCTGCTGCAGGAGACGGATGTGTAGGGCCCTGCGCGCGGACGCCGAGATTGGGGGACACGGGGGCACTTCTCCACGGAAACACCCCCCGGCCTTCTCGATCCCCGGTGGCAATAAAAGCAGGGAAACGGGAGCGTGTGCAGGCCCATCCGGGACAGGGCTACCGGGGAGAGCGGGATGGGGGAGATGGGATATGCGTGGGGACAGGCAGGAAGGGAGCTTGGGAGACCCATGGGAATGGGGCATGTGGGAGGGGGCACCCATAGCCATGGGGCACCTATGGGCATGGGGTACTCATGGGAATGGGGCATACGTGGGCATGGGACACACGGGAATGGGGCACACCTGGGAACGGGATACACGTGGGCATGGGGCATGTGTGGGTACAGGACACAAGGGAATGGCCAATGTCCAGGAATGGGACACGGCTGGGAATGGGGACCTGTACGGTGCACGTGTGGGAATGAGATACACACGTGGATGGAGCATGCGTGGGAACGGGACAATAGGACACGCGTGGAAGAGTGGGGAGGAGCGGGGCAGCCCCACCGCGCTTCCCGTAGCCTCAGGCGGCCATCTTGACGGCGGCCGGCGCGCCGCCATCTTGGGGCGCCGCCATGGGGAGGAGCGGCGGCGCCATCTTTGTGTCGGGCCGGGGCGAGCTGGGTGAGCAGGAGCCGCGTAGCCGCCGCCGCCCCCCTCCTGTCCCGACCCGCTCCAGGGGCGCGGGTACCTCCCCTCGCCGACCCGCTCCGCTCTGTCGAGGGGTTCAGCGCCGTGATCACAACGCGGGGGGGGTGGTGTGTGTT